ATGATTTAAAGCTGTGTCTTCAACATTCATTTGGAGACACTCTTCTAAGGTTACTTTCTTTCAGTTCATTCAGGTTATAGATATGGAAAGTAAAATTGACATACGACCTCACTAATCCAACTTGTGTAATGCTTCTCAATGTGATGCGTGAAAGTTGACTTTCAACATGAATCATGACTTACGCTTTGTTATTTTGATAGGTTGGAAGAGAAACAACACATCTATCCATTAAGATATTGGGATACATATCTGTAAGTAGAAGGTGAAACAAACTCATGACTGACAAATTAGAACACTGTCTACAATAATGTGGACAGAAGGGAACAATAAGCATCCATTTTTTCTCTAATTGTTTAAAATGGGTTCAAACTTGCGTCACAATTAATGGGCCTGTCAGCTTACCTGAAATAAATATTTCAAGAGTGAAGAACCTAAAGTAGAATTGGCCGGTTGCGGGCATGGTCACTCGACAAACAACAATATTCCATCTATAAGATACCAGACAGTAAACATTACAGACTGGACCAGATATACCCGTGATTGATTGTATCAACGCTGACCCATATTGTCAGGGTATAAGGGCATTATTTTTTTTATGTGTTTCACGTAGCCACCAAATTCTGAACATGGGTCAGTCGGTCAGGGGAAAAAACAACAAAAAACTAAGAAAACATTAAAAAGGAATAATGTTCTTGATTCTCCTCTATTGTAATTCTTATGAAATTTCTTGTGTTCTTTGGACTTGTGGCAGCAACTGATTAAAACATTTTAGATAGATAAACATTTTATATGACGAGGTGGTATGTTTTGGGTTCGAGTCGGCGGTGTTGGAATGAAAAAAAAAAGGTTTTGGGGATCGGCAATAAAATTAGAAGGGTCGGACGGACATAGAGAAACACAAAAAATAAAAATGCTGCCCTAATGAAAAGTATCATATATGACACCAAATGTGCCAATTTTTTTGGACAAAAAAGGGCATTCTGTAGAAAGGGTTCTGTTCATCAAACTTTTTTCTAGTGGTTAAAAAATTACATTGTTTCACTTTGTTTGAACGAACAAGAGAAGACAACTTACCCAGTGCAGACGTCAAATTTGCAAATAAACATCACTGGACAAAATGATTTACATTTTCAGTTCTAACATGTTTTTTACAAAGCAATGTATTATATGCAGGGATTAATGATGCAGTAATTGGAAAAATACTATCTGTGACTTGTATTTTAGCAAAAGAATCTAACATTATTTTATTTTAACTGCAGGTTTTGCTCTATGAATTAAATAATGATAGTCATATTTAAGATTATGTGGAAGCACTTTGGAATATAATCGGTTAATCTTTATGCAAGGAACAATTTCACCATTATGAAAACAGTTTGCGGACATGTGACCGTCCATTTACAACAAATATGATTTTAAATGAAAAATATTTTATATGTATCCATTTTGTGTCAACTACTCTTTGTTTCGAGGCGTGAGTGGAGGCAATATGAATTTAGTTGTAAGTAAACAGAAGGACACACAATTCTGCTGCAAATAGTGCAGTTACTGAATGACAATTTGAGTAATATTGATAAACTAGATTACGAATATAAGTCCATATATTCAAAGAACGTATTATTATGACATAGGATTATCTTGTGTTACAATACAGATTTCTTGATACTCTATTTCCGATAACTGATCATGACGAGAAGATGTACGAAGGTTGATGGTCCGACTGATGTACCAGACATACCACTTTTATACTGACTTTAAGAGTCAAGTTAGGGCCTCAACTTAACTATGAGATTAGCTAATCTATGGTCATCATATACGTTAACCAACTGAGATTGACCACCAAATCCATGTGCAGTTCCTCCTTCAAGCAGAGATTACTGCACATCAGTTATTACATGGACTACCAATGGGACACACAACTATTTACAGGTGACATATATCTACAAAAAATGTTAGTATTCGCTGTTTTAAAGAAGACATTTTGATCAGATTAACAGTAATGTAAGTCAGAGATAATGTTCACGACTAAACATTATCTATTATCATCAGACTCAATTTACTGCAAACTACAGGTGTATCCTAGCCCATCAGGAATAGCGATCGTGATGGTTGGGGGTAAGGTGTAAGGTGTGTAGGTGGTGGGGGGATGAAGAATTAAAAGTTGAGTGATAATTGTATATATGAGAAGCACTTTAGGGGGCTATTTAAATTTTTTCTCATAAAGTCACTATGTGGCAGAAAGAATATTACCACATCTTCCATTCTGATCTTAAGGAGGATAAAAAGCAGGGTCGGTTTACACAATATGCGTCCTGACACAGACATAAATCATTTAGTGGGCACATGTGGTATAATTCACAACATAAATAGGTGATCGAAAGATTTCACCCAAAGGACTTCTCCCACACAATGATTTATGACAACACAATGCATATCACTTTACATTTCTCATTGTATTTCATTCATTCTAGGTTTAATGTTTGACTCACGATATATATTTTATAATTACGTGACCTGCAAAACATTCCATTTCAGTTCGAAGAGTAAATTTATATGCCTACACCACAATGTAACTTACATGTAATAAAAAAACGTGACATCTTAAGTATTCTAGTTTCATAGCTTGTTATTTAATTTGCACAGAATCATAATGATGGATTCTTCATATTGTCTTTCAACATGTTCAATAGTCTTGAAAACCTACAGCCAATGGTTATCATGAAAGAAGGCCCTAAATAAACACCAATTACAGGCCCAGTCCCATGACGAACGTGGGTATATTTGGTGATATTTACAAATAGCCAGCAAATATGAAAAGGCTTTATGAAGACTGGTAGAGCCACAAAGACCCTGTGCTGAAACGAGATGCTGGTTTCATTAGATAAAGTCTCCCAATAAAAGCGCCCACATCTGGCATTTGCAATCGCGCCATTGGTAAACAAAAATAACAATCAGCAAATACATGTGCCAATCATATAAATGGAAATCTTAATACAAATTTCCTCAAAGTAAACACGCCACAGCCCAACAAAGCTGGGACACTGCAATGCCTAGCAGCCCTTTCAAACCAACCCTCGCGACAGCTAGTGAGTACACAGAACGAAATTTAGTCATTGCAATGTAGCTAAGTCGAGCCCTGGTCCAACCCAATGGGTTTCCTGCTAAATAAATAAACAAAAGCTGGTCACGAATTCCATCTGCCACTTGCTTCAGGCTTCACTCACTTCATTCCTCAATATTCCATTCATAAAAATACATTGTTTCACATGTTTCAGAGATTTTTATCTTTGAAGGACATATAAATTCGTTTCGTAGACTTACGTTGATGGATAAATACGGACTCACGATTTATTTCGCCAAGGATAGTCAATGCAATTCCCTCCCAGTTAAATAAATAATTCCATTCTAGCTATCTATTCCATTCGAATCAGAAAGTCATATTTAACCTATATGAAATATGATATACAAATATTTCTTCAATAAAATGATATATTACAACATTAACCTTGGACAATCCTTGGCTAGTCCATGTTTACAGGAACCGACAGTCCCCTTCAACTGCGCGAGACTAAGCTGTCAAGTAAAATGTTTATTCCTATCTACCAAATGTCTTACAGTGTTGTTGTCCTGTTATCAATAGTGTGCCGTTCCTTATCATGCGTTCGAATGGAAAATCTGGATGAGAAAAAAACGCTGCCCTTCCACCATTTGATCGATAGCATTGGAATCGGGACATTTTGTTTATTATAAAACTGTAATGGCTGCCAAGACAAAATCAACAATCTTGGCCGGTTGCCTTTGTCCCGCTTTCGTCAGTTTTATTCCTTCAATGTCATTCATTCAAGCGACAAACCACCGGTAGTAACCATTCACTTTTCAAACACACTTCCTATCAAATTTCCGCGTATACTTTACGTAATCGGGGAAAAGTTCAGAGAGGACGGCTCATTTGCTATGCAAATTGTTTATCACCAGATGAAACCACGACTCGGCTAACAACAAGGCTACATTCTCCAAAAGTCGCCAATGTCATTCCATAAAAGTGATATAGAATAAAAGGGAATATTGCAATTTTCATTTTAATAAGAAAAGTGAATTTTCTCACCTTTTATCTGCAATGCCACGCTCAAAACCCAGCAGTTATAGTCTAATTTTCTCTCTGTAAGACAACACAGAGCGGACACATCGCCGCCGTAAATAAAAATATATCAATCCGCGCACGCCGCAGCAGAGTAAAAACAGCGGGTATTGTCAGTCTGAATCGAAAAGAATCATTTTGATATATTTATAAGACTCTTTTAAGTTACAAGTGTCCAAAACATACAGCTTTTCGGTGGTTTAATTGTTTTTGACTGGACCTATTTTCTAACCGCGAACCGACATATTGTTGTTCTAAGACGTTAGAGGGCGCCCTAGTGACGTCACAAGCACCTGCTGTGTAAACAGAAAATAACAAACAATGAGATAGTATGGAAATGGGCTACGTCTCTCACACACTAATCGATCGAGAATCATGTTATTGCGAGATTTCGGTGGATATTATAATTATAGCTAAACTGCAATGATAAGTAGTTATAGGAAATGTATTCACAGATCGTGAATTTATCTGAACTTACTATGAATGATTTTCATATTCAGGGCCAGATAAAAATGTGACTATTGTAGATAAGTGCACCGTTATCAAAGTTATATTTATTTAAAGATTGTAAACTTTAACGCACAATTTGACTGCCATTCTTCGAATTTCCTTTTCCATTTGAATTTATAAAAGATTAAAAATCGAATAATTTTGAATTAATATGAAAAGAGCTACAGGGTTTTGTATATAGAAATACAGCACATCAAAAGATAATGCAAAATGCATTCTCTAGTGAAACAGTAGCATTTAAAGATCATTTTATATTTAAATGGCTGACTCGAGCAGACGACATTTTTAAAGGGACGAGTAGTTCTCTATTATACCGCAAGGTGGCGTTGATGTAGTCTGTGTGTACTTCCTCTTCTCAGCTGATCGCACATTCCGGTTTGACAATTTCGTTCACCAATGCAAAATGATATCATTATAATTTATGTACAGTGTAAAATAACCGATGGCAGCCACTAATCCAGCTGCAGAAAATGATGACAAAGAAGAACATAAACGATTAGCACGATTTGTGAAAGGCGTTCATGCCGATCTCAGAAAAAAGTTCAAAGCAAGTGAGTTGACGATAATAAATATAAAATGCTGAATAAGGTATTTAGTTACTAAACCAAATAAATGTTTGAAATTACATGTTTGCCTGTGTTATTCACGCTGTCAGGACAAGTAATGAACATCCTTGTTAATTACATTCCACATTTAGTTATGGTTACAGTTCAAATTCGTGTACATTCTTCTAGTTACTCGACCTCTTCCAGTTCGTTGAATTTTGGAAAACAATAATGACACTTTAGCATTCATCTTAATTTGCAGTTTGTACAAACCACATGTTTATGCCTTATAAAGGACAAACAGTTTTTCCAGCATTTTCGATATATTATGTTTTGAAGAAAACACGGTTATATATTGTACTGTCAAGGTCTCACAATTTCAAGGATACTTTCATGACATTTTTAGTGAAAACAGGGTCTTTGAGAGTTTCTCAGTTGGAAATCTATAGTCTTATTTACCCAGACCTCATTTGCACTGAATGACAGTGCAGGGTTGTAGCTATCATTCACTGTTAAAATGTCATAATTGCATTCAATTTTAGTTTACAGATTCTAGACCATGATGTACTTTAATTCTTATGAAGTTGTTGAATAATTTATTTCAGCTAATAGTTATTACTAGTTTGTTCTGCCTTGTTTTAAATCATGATATAGAAACACTACCATAACATGTGGACACAAACATGTTATTGGGGAAACATGTTTTGAAGTCCTCATAGTCCCCACCTTTCCTTGCAATGAGACAACAGTTGAATACAAGCTTTTAAGAAAAAACAGTATTATAGCTGCCTAGTGTTACTACAGGTCATTTGCATTCTATGTGCAATTGTTCTGTTGTACAAAACAGCTATAGCACCTCGAAAACCATAAATCTGGTCAAGTTATCAAACTAATTTTACTCATCAAGGTGAACAAAACTGTAAACTATATTATAGTCTATTTGCTCCAAAATCGTACCGATCAATTCCTAATTACAAGGAGTTAATCCCAAATATAACATATGTTACAAGGAGTTACAAGTAAAATTCGTCAACAATTTTCACATCTTTCTTATTTGTTTTCCTGTACCAACTCATGATGTTAGTTTGGCTCATTGAGATACAGTAATAGAAAAGTTGTTGAACAAATTATCATAAGATTGCTGTTGTTTTAGTACATTTGGTTACACTGGAGTCTGTACAATCACTGTAACAGCCGAACATGGTTGCACATGAAATACATGTCAGTATGATCATTCACGCAAGGGATTTACCGTATGTGATGGCATTCAAGTGTACACGTCTTAAAAGGAACATCTGTTGTTAGATATCAAATATATTTCAAATTAATATAATTCACTGGTGAAAACATCTTTAGATAGTTCATACACTTATGTGATAATATGAACATATCACTGACATAATAGTCCTGTGGCTGCTAATACTGCCACAGTAGTCCTGTGGCTGTCCTGTGGCTTCCTATACTGCCACTTTGGTCCTGTGGCTACCACAATAGTCCTGTGGCTGCCTGTACTGCCACAATGGTCTTATCGCTCCCTATAGTGCCACAATAGTCCTGTGGCTGCTAATATTACCATAATAGTCCTGTGGCTGCTAATACTGCCACAACAGTCCAGTGGCTGCTAATACTTCCACGATAGTCCTGTGGCTGCTAATACTGCCACAATGGTCCTGTGGCTGCTAACACTACCACAACAGTCCTGTGGCTGTTAATACTGCCACAATAGTCCTGTGGCTGCTAATATTACCATAATAGTCCTGTGGCTGCTAATACTGCCACAACAGTCCAGTGGCTGTTAACACTACCACAACAGTCCTGTGGCTGTTAATACTGCCACAATGGTCCTGTGGCTGCTAACACTACCACAACAGTCCTGTGGCTGTTAATACTGCCACAATAGTCCTGTGGCTGCTAATATTACCATAATAGTCCTGTGGCTGCTAATACTGCCACAACAGTCCAGTGGCTGTTAACACTACCACAACAGTCCTGTGGCTGCTAATACTGCCACAATAGTCCTGTGGCTGCTAATACTGTTACAACAGTCCTGTGGCTGCTAATATTGCCACAATAGTCCTGTGACTGCCTATACTTCCACAACAGTCCTGTGGCTGCTAATATTGCCACAATGGTCCTGTGACTGCTTATAGTGCCACAATGGTCCTGTGGCTGCTAATAGTGCCACAATGGTCCTGTGGCTGCTAATAGTGCCACAATGGTCCTGTTGCTGCTAATATTGCCACAATAGTCCTGTGACTGCCTATACTTCCACAACAGTCCTGTGGCTGCTAATATTGCCACAATGGTCCTGTGACTGCTTATAGTGCCACAATGGTCCTGTGGCTGCTAATACTGCCACAATAGTCCTGTGACTGCTAATAGTGCCACAATGGTCCTGTTGCTGCTAATACTGCCACAATAGTCCTGTGACTGCCTATACTTCCACAACAGTCCTGTGGCTGCTAATATTGCCACAATGGTCCTGTGACTGCCTATAGTGCCACAATTGTCCTGTGGTTGCCTATGCTGCCACAATAGTGCTGTGGTTGTTAATGGTGTTCTGATGATTGAAAATCGACCCAAAGAAGGATTAAAACTGATTATCGATTGTAAAAAAAATATGTTTGATTAATCAGAATTTTGTTGTTTTTGTATAACACCCTTGAATTAAGTATACTAACCAGTGTTCAAAATAGTTTCCACATTTTGCTAGCCAGTCGGGCTAGCTATTCCTGAGAGTTACTAGCCCACAAAAATAATTCACATGGCTGACATTTGAATGTAAACACGGGTTTCATCATTAAGCTGCTAATATGATGAATGTTTTTATCAGGCCATAATCTTGCATGATTTAAAAGTGTATGATAACTTTACAAGTCGGAGAGAGCGACATATTTACAAAATGACCCCATGAAAATACCTAGCCAGTTGGGCCAGTGACTGGAGATTTACTGGCCGGACTTGATTATTATTAGCCACGGGCTAGAGGGCCAGTGGCTATTTCGCATACTGATACTAACCATTTAATTTGATGAATATTCACGAACAAACATGCGCTCAACAGCGTAAAGCTATGCGCATTGTAAAGTTTTAACCACTTTTATTGTTTAATTACAATTCCAGTGTCTTACTTGCATGCGTGCATTTCATTGCATGACTGTATTAGTTATAAAAAAACATTAACTAGAAAAAAACTGGGGAAAACCCCTTAAAATTGGTGGCTGCATTAAAAATGTATATATTTCGATTATAATCGATAATCGTTCACCACTAGTCCTCCGATAATCAATAGTGGATTTGGTTCCGATTCCCAACACGAGTGGTTGCTATATTGCCACAATAGTCCTGTGGCCACCTACACTGCCACAATAGTCTTGTGGCCGCCTATGCTGCCACAATAGTCCTGTGGCCACCTATACTGCCACAATGGTCATGTGGCTGCCTATACTGCCACAATAGTCCTGTGGCCACCTATACTGCCACAATAGTCCTGTGGCTGCTAATACTGCCACAATAGTCCTGTGGCCACCAATACTGCCACAATAGTCCTGTGGCCACCAATACTGCCACAATAGTCCTGTGGCCACCTATACTGCCACAATAGTCCTGTGGCCACCTATACTGCCACAATAGTCCTGTGGCCACCCATATACTGCCACAAGAGTCCTGTGCCACAATAGTCCTGTAATACCAATACTGCCACAATAGTCCTGTGGCCACCTATACTGCCACAATAGTCCTGTGGCCACCAATACTGCCATACTAATAGTCCTGTGGCCACCTATACTGCCACTAGTCCTGTGGCCACCACCTGCCACAATAGTCCTGTGGCCACCTATACTGCCACAATAGTCATGTGGCCGCCTATACTACCACAATAGTCCTGTGGCCACCTATACTGCCACAATAGTCCTGTGGCACTAATACTGCCACAATAGTCCTGTGGCCACCAATACTGCCACAATAGTCCTGTGGCCACCTATACTGCCACAATAGTCCTGTGGCCCCAATACTGCCACAATAGCCACAATAGTCCTGTGGCCACCTATACTGCCACAATAGTCCTGTGGCCACCTATACTGCCACTAGAGTCCTGTGGCCACCAATACTGCCACAATAGTCCTGTGGCCACCTATACTGCCACTAGAGTCCTGTGGCCACCAATACTGCCACAATAGTCCTGTGGCCACCTATACTGCCACTAGAGTCCTGTGGCCACCTATAGTCCTGTGGCCACCTATATAGTCCTGTGGCCACCTATGCCTGCCACTAGAGTCCTGTGGCCACCTATACTGCCACAATAGTCCTGTGGCCACCAATACTGCCACAATAGTCCTGTGGCCACCTATACTGCCACAATAGTCCTGTGGCCACTTCACAATAGTCCTGTGGCCACCTATACTGCCACAATAGAGTCCTGTGGCCACCTATACTGCCACAATAGTCCTGTGGCCACCTATACTGCCACAATAGTCCTGTGGCCACCTATACTGCCACAATAGTCCTGTGGCCACCTATACTGCCACAATAGTCCTGTGGCCACCTATGCCACTACAATAGTCCTGCCACAATAGTCCTGTGGCCACCAATACTGCCACAATAGTCCTGTGGCCACCTATGTCCTGTGGCCACCTATAGTCCAATATAGTCCTGTGGCCACCTATACTGCCACTAGTCCTGTAATACCTATATTACTGTCCAAACAATAGTCCTGTGGCCACCTATACTGCCACAATAGTCCTGTGGCCACCAATACTGCCACAATAGTCCTGTGGCCACCTATACTGCCACAATAGTCCTGTGGCCACCAATACTGCCACAATAGTCCTGTGGCCACCAATACTGCCACAATAGTCCTGTGGCCACCAATACTGCCACAATAGTCCTGTGGCCACCAATACTGCCACAATAGTCCTGTGGCCACCAATACTGCCACAATAGTCCTGTGGCCACCAATACTATAGTCCTGCCACTGCCACAATAGTCCCTGTGGCCACCTATACTGC